CAGACCCCGCGGCGCACCTACCGAGACCCGTCCGCTGCTGGGAAGACGGCGGTCCTCGCGCTTCGCCAAGAAGGCCGGCGATGCCAGCACCACAAAGACCTTCTTCACAACCCTCAAGGCCTTCATTGGCACGGGCATTATGTTCTTGCCCAAGGCCTTCAAGAACGGCGGCATCCTCTTTTCCTCTCTGACCATGCTCGTCGTGGCCGCAATCTCCATGGTGGCCTTCCACCTGCTCCTGCAGTGCCGCACCCGCTACGGCGGTGGCTACGGTGACCTGGGCAAGGAGATCTCGGGCCCGCGCATGCGCTCCCTCATCTTGGCGTCTATCACTCTGTCCCAGATTGGCTTCGTTTGCACGGGTCTCGTGTTTGTGGCCGACAACTGGTTCTCCTTCTTGAAGGCAGTAACGGGCGGCGCGAATCCCCTCGACTCAACCGCCCTCATTGCTCTGCAGGCCATTGTCATTGTGCCCCTCGCCTTCATTCGCAACATTTCCAAGCTCGGTCCAGCTGCCCTCCTCGCCGACGTCTTCATCATTATCGGCGTAGGATACATCTGGTGGTACGATATCTCGGCCCTCGCCACACGCGGCATGGACCCCTCCGTCAAGCTCTTCAACCCGAGCTCCTACACCCTCACTATCGGTGCCTCCATCTTCACGTTCGAGGGCATCGGCCTCATCATTCCCATCCAGGCCAGCATGAAGAAGCCGGAGCACTTTGAGCCCCTGTTGGCGGGCGTCATGCTCCTCATCACCTGCGTCTTCACCTCGGTCGGCGCCCTCTGCTACGCGACGTTCGGAGACCGCACAAAGATTGAAATCATCGACAACTACCCGCAAGACAGCCGCCTCGTCAACGCCGTGCAGTTCATGTACGCCCTCGCTGTCCTCGTCGGCAACCCCGTCCAGCTCTTCCCCGCCATGCGTATCATCGAGACCAAGATCTTTGGCTACCGCTCAGGCAAGAAGGATCTCCTGACAAAGTGGAAGAAGAACGCCTTCCGCACCTCCCTCGTCGCCCTCTGCATCGCCATCTCCATTGCCGGCTCCGCCAACCTCGACCGCTTTGTCGCCCTCATTGGATCATTTGCGTGCGTGCCTCTCGTCTACATTTACCCGCCTTACCTGCATCTCAAGGGCATCGCCGAGACGAGAAACCAAAAAATTTGCGATTACGCCCTCATGGCCCTTGGCCTTGTCGGCATGGTGTACACCACCGCTATCACCGTGGCCACCAGCTTCCTGTAGAAAGCGTAGAGCCCGAGAGCTCAGAGTCACAAGATTTGTAAAGACTTGAAAGACTTGAGAAGAGACTTGTTAGAGTAAAAAAAGCAGACAATGCCGGAGCGTTTGAGCTTGTATATGTGTATGTTTACGACCGGAAAACAAAATTAATACAGCGTAGAATTCATGTTCATTCATCTTTTTCGTCTACCTTATGCAATGTGTGATGGATCTAATGCCTCTCAACGCCGATAATCAATCCTCCCGCCACCGAATAGACCAATCCCCCTTTGCAAAGCTAGGCTCAACAACCTTGCCCTGTCTGACAGCCTCACACTTCTTCCTCTCCTCGCCATCCCCAACCAGAAACCCAAACACAACCCCCCTCCTGGCAGCACACCTCACCATCTCCCTCTCGTGAGCCTTCCTCTGCCCCTCAGCCCTCTTCTCCCTCATCTCCTCCGTCTCTTCAACCCTCTCCGCCCGCCCCTTCTCCCCGCCCACGCTCCCATTCACCTGGCTCTGCGTCTGCGGAGGCCTCATCCTCGTCCCGCTGCGCACAGAGAGGCTCGCCTGCACGCTAGGATCCAGCTCTGTGGATTTGGTGCGGTCTACGCCTAGCATCTCGTCGATTATGTCCTCGCCTGCGTCTTCGTCGTAGGAGCGGCGTTCGCGGAGGGAGATGCCCTCGTCCTCGTTGTCAGAGGAGGAGGATTTGGTAGTGATGACGCGCGAGGCGCGGTTTTTGCCCCGGCCATAGATTTGGTCGGGGCCTTTGCGCTCGCCGAAGAAGGTTTCTTCTACGACGTCGCAGGGGACGAGGATTCGGGTGTCGCCCTTTGTTTTCTTATGTTTTGTTCTTGCGTCGGTTTGGATTTCTTCCTCGCCTTGGAGGAAGCGGACGAATACTTGTTCGATTTCCTTGTCTAGACGGCTTGGTTTCTTTGCGCGGCAGCGGGAGGAGCAGTATTTCGCCTCGACGGGGGGTTTTTGGGTCTCGGAGGCTTTGTCCTTGTTGAAGTTTGACTTGGAGGATGTGTTTGTGGCTGCGGTCTTGCGGCTGGAGATGACGCGGCCGCAGGTGCGGCAGTAGGGCGTTTGGTCGCCGTTGGGGAGGAGGTAGAAGGGTGCCGGCGTGGCTTGGGATTTGCCCGGCCGGGACCAGGAGTCCATCCAGCTCATTGTTGTGGTGTGGAGGGGTGTTTGTTGCGGGAGTTGATGACTGTGGTTGAGGGGCCGGAGGATGGGAGTCGTGGAGATGATGGGAGCTCGGTGGGTGAGTCGAAGGCCGATGTTGAGCTGTCGTGGTCGAGGTAGCATCTAGAGGAGAATCTTGAGGACAGCGATGGTGTTTTGGAGCAAATGGACAAAGGGAAGGGAGCGAGTTTGGGGCTCGGAGGTTGTTGACCAGTGAGCTACGTCATCGATGTCATTCCCCCATTGACCAATCATCGTCTCTCATTTAAGCGTCAGTCACGAAGCCACAACATGAGACCTCAGCTTCGTCATAAGCAGACAGATTAAATGGAAGCTTGGGAATCGTGTTGAAATGCAAGATGGTCTCCAATTCTCTGGAGTGATTTGAATGGAGAAAAGTCACATTAACCTCAATACATATAGCTCTTATTGTTGCATGCTGCTTACAAGCTGCTAACATAAATGATAAGTGCTCAAGTTATAGGGAGAAGATTCTTCATAACGTCGCCTTCATGGATCCATTTGCCCCATATCGTTGACCATGGTGCCGTTCTGGATTGAGGCAATGTAGCTCTCATGTCTCTAGAGGAAGCATGCATGTGGATGCCCTCATCTATGAATGAGTAAGCCACATAGCATCTATGCCTGGGTATTGGTGTTGAGGTAAAACTCGACAGATAATCATCATCCTCATAGCTTCCCATGATTATTTCTCAAATGAAACAATCGTTCTATAGTGCTAGGTGTACTTTGTTCTTTCCTAAAGTACAATCACAAGCTCCGTAGATATGCCGATGGGAAGCTCAGCCGCCCCTTCCTACTCCTTCATGAGGCCCTCCTTCCTCTTGTGCACCACCTCACCCCCTTCCTTGGACGAAATTTCATCGCGCTTCATAGCCGTCCCTTCCCTTCCCTCACTTCGTCCGTTCTGCTCCTTCCGTCGGGTCTTCCAGACGGTCGTTCATCACGTGAGGGCGGTTGAACGACCCTTTGAGATCTTCCGGCCCTCCCTCCTCCCCAATATAAAAGACCAGCCTTTCTCCCCGACTTCACCCATCCTTCCTTTCTTCTTTCCTCTTCACCCCGACTCAGGTCCTTGACCTTGAGCTCAAAGTGGTTCCCCTCTCACTACCCCGAACAGCTTCTGGAGCCACCATCGGGGGAGTTCTTTCACTATTTCCATTCCTTGTTCGAATCCTCCGTCCAATTCAACACGAAGCAGACTGGTAAGTCTTCATCTGCGTTCTCTCCATTCGTCCGAGCAGTCGCTAACGCCATCGCAAGGTTACTCTTTGGACGGAAGGACTCGGGACCTTCAGCAGCGTCTCATGTCTCCTTCCACTCATTCCGAGGTGTCTTCATGAACGCTTCAATGTCTTCTTGAACGCTTTGAGTCCGGCACCAAGAGAATTGTATGTGGTTATCCCCTCGTCCCTTCCTTCGTCTGAGAAATTACTGATTGCCATCGCAAGTCTTGTCGTCAGACGGAAGAAATTGGCACCTCCCCTTCACACCACTCAACACTCTTTGTGAAACAGTTTCTTTTCTTCACTTTCATTGTTCGAACACTTGTTCACCTCGAGAACACCAAGTCAGCCGTAAGTATCTCATCGTCCGTCCTTTATCATCCTCGTCTGAGCAATTTCTAACTCCATCGCAAGTCTTGATGTTGGACGGCAGAGCTCAACAACCCCGAGTTGCTTGCTTGAATACTTGCTTCATAACTTGGAGCTGGCTCCAAACATTCATTGCCTGTCTACCAGAGGCACCGACAGCCAACAATAGCTTCATTCAGCGCTGGCGCTGTGGCATATTTTCGACAAATTTCATCAAGTCTGGTGTCGCCATCACCATCCGAAGCCCTCAGGTCGTCACTTGTAGCTACCAGCTGTTGTGAAGACTCGTCGACTGGGTGACAGTCTGCTTAGCAAAGAGCAGCAGCATGCGCGGAACTGCAAAACGATTTGGTGTGTATGTCCTGCTTGTGTCACCCGAGATGGTATCAGACTGACTTTTTGTAGGTGTTCCACTACCAACCCAGCCAACTACACGATTTTCCGCAATGTGGCTGTCTGGGAGGTTATTTCTGCCTGCCCAGATTCGTCCACACTCACCACGTCACGATTGGTCTGCAGCCGATAAGGGGTCAAGGACAGAATGATCCGAGGCCTCCAATACCGAGGTTGTACTGGGGGTGTCGGTGTTGCTCCTTTTTACCACTCCTATCATGGAAAGTCACTGTTCTGATATGGTGAACTCCCTCCCCTTGCCTTTGAAGGCCAGAATTAGCATCGTTCAACTAGGGGTTTGGCCCGACAGCTCTCCCAGAAAACGGAGAGTATGAAGACTACGGCAATCTTTCTTCCTTTGAAGAAGGAGATACCAGCACTACTTCTCCTCTTACCTATGGGCCCGCCACTGCCCACGGGGTCAGCGAGCACCATTGCTACCATGGAGATGGTTATGGTCCGGAGGGACGTGGCCCTATTTATACGATGGCTTGAGGGGGTTCGGTGCGAATCCCCTCAAGATATTTCGGCCCAGATACGTCATCAAGAGAAAGCTCGAGATCATCATGAAGACGCAGTTCGAGGGTCTTCAGGAAAAGCGACATCGCTTCTTTTTGGGGCCAGAGAAGAACAGGGCCCGAGGCCTTGTCGAATGGCTCAACGCCCTTTCCGACCGGCCTCTGGAGCCACCTCGACCGGCAATGCCCACACTCGCGCGGCTCGGCCTACCTAGTTCAAGGACAACTGGGTCAGGATATTTTGCTCAAAACGACTTAAGACTGTCGCACTTTCTACGAATATTTATTGTTTTTGCCTTCATCGCCTCGCCCATGTGCTCGATGACCACAGTCTGCCTCTGCCAGGCGATTTCAATCACTGAGACGAAGAATCTCGAAACATGTTCAAAACTTCAGCCCGGAATGCAGGCACTAGCCTAATTCAAGGACAGCATGCACATGATGTGGTGGGAAACCCCTCACATGTGTTGCTGTGGATCCATCTTTTGCTCCAAGCATTATCATCACTATCCGCTCCACAGCCTACTCCAAATGATCTCCAAAGACAGGCTGGCCTTGGCTCAAGGATAGTTCCTCTTGTTCAAACAGAGGTGCTCGAAGAAGGGCAGCATGATTCAGGTATGCCAACTTCTCGCCGAAGGCCCTCTCTCTTCAAATAACAGTAAAAGCTGACGTTCTTCCCGCTTGCAGAAAGATCAACCGGCGCAATTTCACCTGTGATCGCCTCTTGCGCAGAACGCGGCTGGACCTTTACGTCGAAGAAACGCCGCGGCTTTCGCGGTCCCGGGCGTGGATTGTATCTACATCAATCCTCGTACTGATGAGATCTCTCTTGGCTAATCTCGCGTGCATCATCATCAGACGGATGATTCCGAAGACGACTTCGATGGTCTCTTCAATGCCAAGGTCAAGAACATTGATATTTCTTGGGAGTCATTGAGAGGTCTTCGAAGGCCTCTTCAAATGGGGAATTCGTCTCTCACGTGAGAAAGCCGCAAAACCATTCATTGCTCTGCTACTCGAACACATCATGAAGGCCGAAGGAATGTAGCATGTTCGAATGGAGGATTAAGCATCGTGGAGGAGAATGAGCTGGACCTATGACCTGCACTGGCAGAAACATCTGGGGATCACGCAGATTCACGATGGGGTTTCGACAGTAGCGAAGCACAAATGGTGGCAACGAATCAGGAGACTAGAAGTACAAACTGAGAGCAAGAATCGCATTTGAGGACTTCAAAGAATCATCATTGCAGGCTCTCTGTACATATATGGGCAATGACTGGGTGACAACATGTATTCACGCATTGCAAAGGCTTTTGCGAGATGAGTGATTCGATGGTGTCAGAGATGGGCAAGTTGCATGGTTGATCATTGAAGCTTTTGTTATTTTACAGTCGCAACTTGGTATCTTGGCTAGCAGGGTACTATATATGTACAGCGATGCGTGTGTGAAGACACGGTATAAAGTACAAGAAAAAACCTTTCCCTTCCGGAGGCAAACGAGCTCAGCTCTTGAAGTGGCCTAGCACATTTACTGTCCAAAGGTAAACTCGGGGATATCAATGGTGGTGACGGTCCAGGTCTTGCCGCCGTCGCTGGTGGACATGTCGCCGGTGACGCCGTTGCCCTTGCCCATGGTGTTGATGTAGTTGGCGTCGGCCTTGTCGAGGATGATCTTGGTGTTGATCCAGGCTGTTGGAGGTCATTGTCAGCACACTGATTCGGTGTTTGGGAGAAATGGAAATTATGGCGGATGTGAACTTACAGTGAGCACCGACGGTGCCGCAGTCCTCGGCGGCGCACTCAACGGCGCTGCCCCAGCCCTGGGCCTCACCGTCCTTGGTGGACAGGGTGGCGACGACCTTGTCGTTGATGGAGACGGTCTGGGTGTAGTTCTGGGAGGCATCATCGAACTTGTCTGTAGGTTGATTTTCCGTTAGCAACAAGCCACAACCTCATCAACCTCAAGAGAGCAGCTTACAGTGCATGGTGATCTTGTCACCCTCAGAGGCGTCGGTGCCCTCGGTCTGAACAGGCATCTGGGAGTTGGCACCGGTGCTGAGAAGGGTGTAGGCGAAGATGGACCACTTGTCGGTGCCGGTGTTGTCGTAGTTGGAGTTGTCGGCGATGGACTGGATCAGGTCGCCGTTGGAGGTGCCCATGCCAACCCAGAGGGAGGCGCTGCCTTTGTTGTTGGAAGGGGCGGCGGGGAGGACGAGGGTGGAGGTGGCTTCGCGGATGAAGGAGTCGGAGGCGACGGGACCGGTGCTGAAGGCCGGGCCCATGGCGGCCTGGACGCCGGCGACGGCCGTGACGGCCAGGGCGGAGAGCATCTGGGTGGTGGAAGGCATATTGGCGGTGATAGTGGATGAAAGTTAAAAGTGAATGTTGGTAGTTGGTGAAGTGAAAAGAATGACTGTTTGTGAATTGAAATGGGCTGCGAACGGCTGATCGAATGCCGAGAGAGGCTAATCATCTTTCTTTATATACAAGCTTCAGTGATGATGTACCCACGCTGCCTTATTGGTGGAATCATCCAAACTAACAGTTGCCATAACGGTTCATATAATCTCGAAATGGGTTTTCTCGCCTCTGGATCCAGCAATGTTTCAACGATACAGCTTTTTAGTGGGTTTGATACTACGAATGGGCTGGACAGACGCGGGACACGCAGGGTTACAGGCATACGGAGTATTACAGACTACAGTAGGACATGTTGGCTCGCTTTCGCTCCTCTTTGAGAGATCACTAAACCCGTGGGCCAGGAGTCGAGTGTGTATTTCCCTTTTTGGCGAGATCTACATGTACGGTTGATGGACCCGGAGGACGTTGCCGGCGCCTGGTGTAACAACTCTGGGCCCTTTTGTTTTTAGATCAGGGATTCCCTGTGGACGGCTTCGACGGAGTAGTCCAGATTGCCTCCACAATACAGTATCCGTATGCACCTTACGAGACGGAGACCAATTACTATGAGATGACATGACACTGGGTCTCTGGAATGGTTCAGTCAAAGTCGGTGCGGGTTACTAATCGATGGTCGTCTAAATTGAAGCTGTCTCGTGTCTACCCTATAGAAGCGGCGTTTAAGTATCTGTTTTGGTACGCTATACGCTTATTTTGACTTTCTTGGCTGGCCATCAACGGACGTGACGCAGCAGATTTACTGCTGTGTGATGCAAAAACTTTGCATTCCTCTACGGATGATACTCCTCGGAAACAGGCACGCGCTGGCCATGTTGGGGGCCGTGTTGCCGTGTAAGAGGCCAACAGTAACCCAACGGCAATTAAAGTGACGCGCGAGTTTAATCAACTTGCCGCGGAGACTAACAGAAATAGGCGCCATCTGTGCCTATCAGACTATCAGTACGGCGAAATGTTGCCCCCTTTGTCTCCACTGGAACCACCACGCACACAACACACAAAGCCCCTACTCCATGTTCGGTGTCAAGCGAAATTGATTCGAGCTGACAAAGTGCCAAAGTGGATGGGCGATGATGACACAGGACGAACTGGCAGCACATCAGGAGTCGTCCGAAACGACAGAACCAGTCAACGAGGGGGCAATACGAGAATGCCTACTCCGTTTGCGACCCAGTCTCATCAGTAGTGTTTCTCTATTCGCGAGGCATGGGTACGCAGTGATAATGTACACAGTTCTCGGTACTCGGAATGGGGAGCTTGCATGGTTGTCTCCCGGAGGAAATCCCCACGATTCACGGAGACTGGGCGTTGGCCAAGCGGCCAAGGGCGATCTCCGCTACTTTCCCCTGAACTCCCGTCTTGAGGGTTCTCGCCTTTTCCTTGCCTCATTCGGATGACGGCTAGCATTTCCTGCACCCTTTCAGCCTCAGAGTCGCATCTCGAAAACTAGTCCTTGGCTCATCCTTACGACAAACGGTTCGATTGACAAGCTGTGAGATTGTTAAACTCAATTGCTGACAATCGTCAAAGACCGAGCTCCAGGTGCAGTGTTTTGAGTTAAGGTAAGTCCGCTAACTACGATTACCCGAAACTCTGATGCGCACCGGCTGACGCCAACAGCTAGGGAAAAGCATCATTTCTGCTCGGCTTCCGGAAGTTTGGGGGACCCAATCAATTGGTGGATTTACACAATCACCAAGTAAAGCCTGTGGGAAACTTTGTTTTATTCTTGCTCAGAATATGCCCTTACATGTCTTCGCCGCGAGTAATACTCAATCGTCAACCCATGGCGATGCCTTTGTCAATCTGACCTGACCTTCTCAACGTTTGAAGACAATGGAGCAATCCTCGCTCATTGAGCACGGATGCTGGCCGGTCCACCGAGGCCACTGAGCAAGTTCTCCTTGCGCTGCTTGAGAAGGTAGTAGTACTGTCCCAAGTCAATCTGGTTGTTTGGTGCAGCAGCATCGCCCTTGTATGTGCCCTTTCCATGGCCATCAAAGTGAACCTTCCAGGCTGTCCGGATTGTTAGCATTGCTCTTTGAGAAACAAACGATTACATGCGACTTCAAGAGTGCACTTACTGCTGGCATCAAAGCCAAGGTACGACCAACTGTCGTTCAGGTACGCCTTTTCGCTGCCGACCTGGATGGTCTTGACGATGCCCATCTGGCCCGGTGCCGGGCGCAGCTGCTTGAGATCAGCCGCGAGCTTGACGAGTCCCACCACGAAAGTCGTGGCAATGTCCTTGGCCAAGCACTCGTGTTGGCCGTAGCTGAAGGCAGAAACCTCCTCGGCCTTGCGGTTCGCGTCGAACTTGTCGGGGTTGGCGATCTCCCCTGGGTTTCGTCCAGCGCCGCCCTAGAAAAGAAGATAATTGTCAGCACATGATCAGATAACGGGCGGAGAGAGTAGACTCACAAGAAGCATCACGACTGCAGTGCCCGGCTGGACTGGCTTGCCGTCGATCTCGGCCGGTGCCGTCGCAACACGCACGTTACGCTGCCCACTGGTGAGACGCTGTGCCTCGCGGACGTAGGCGTGGAGTCCTGCGTCGTCCTTGTTCTGTGCTAGGTTCTGTACCTCTGCCCAGATGGAGGCATTCTCTTGGCGCAAGAAGAACGACAACACTTCGTAGAACTGGAGCAAAGGTTAGTCCATGATATCTTCGCCGTGGCCAAAGAGGGGCAAAGCTTACCGTTGTAACAGGAACACCGATACCGCCGAAAGCAGTCAGCCACATGTTGTCGACGACTTGATCGACCGAGTTTCCTTGCGCCAAGAGCTCCTCGACAAACTTGTAGCCGCACGACCGCAGCGAATCTTTCTTGAAGTTGGCCCTGCGACCGACCGCGCTGGAGATGGCGTTGGCGATTCCAAAGCCGAGGCCACGACCGGCATGGACCTCCTTGACGGGGCCAGCCGTCGACTCGATAATAGCGTTAACGCTCTCAATCGCGCGGCGGCGACGGTTCCATGACTGAGCTGGGTCGTTG